CAAATACATTTTTAAAAAAATTTAAATTCAGACATGAAAACCTGAAGGTGGGCCCGCATAGTGTGGCACCTTTTCTGAGAGTCAAACACTGTGCTGGGCTCCTGTCCTGGTTCTGTGGCCTCCTGTGCCCTTCAGGTCCCTCCATGATGGGACCTTTCCAGGCCTGTGTCAGAGAGAAGGGCACAGCCTCGAGTATCGGGCTGGCCAGGGGCAGGGCGATTGCGCGGCTGCGCTTCCACCACAATGAGGTCTGGGAGCACAGAGGCCCCGGCCCCAAGTCCCTGCTCCTAGTTACGATGATGATGATGATGATGATGATGATGATGACGATGACGACTACCCTGGAATAACCCTTGCAGGATCTGTTGGAATTCTGTACCTCCGCTTCCCTCCTCACTTGCCTTTGCTTCCTCCTGCCCTGAGGGCTTTTCATAATTTCATATTTTCTCTCAGGAGCTACACAGCAGAAGGTCTGCCCCCCAAAAACTTCCTGGGATTTATCACAGGGAAAACGAAGGCCTCCTCACCATGGCTGAGCCTCACAGGGGGAGTGGCTGGGCTTATGCGGGGATTGTCCCATGATGGGCGGACAAACAAGTTCCCTGTGACTCTCGAACATAAGAAGGAAAAAAAGACTTTCCATAGCTTCTGCCAGCAGAGAGGAGCTGAAATTGGCTCACTCGGGGCTCTGGATTCTACATCACCTGCTCACTTTGGGGCTGAGGAAACCACACATTTTCTCTTAGGGATGTGTGCACACCCGAATGCAGCTGCTTTCCAAAGTTGCCTTGCTTCTGACGTGCTCTCTAGTGACTATGGATAAGAAAGTCAGTAAAGTTGCTTTTTCCTAACCAGCTCCCACATTCTGGATTTTTGCAACCCGGAGCTGCCTCCTCTTCAGATTTCAGTTGCAAGTGAAGTCAGGGAGGGTTTGAGGTGCCGCCCAGGCCTCCTCACCCTGGAAAGGCCTAGAATTAGGGTGATTTCTCCAGGCCTCTGTGATTTCTCAGGCGATTTCCCGAGGGGTCCCAGGAAGGCTCCCGACCACAGGTTCTCCACACGCTGGGCTCAGCTTCCAACATGAGCAGTTGATGCCCAGGCTCTCCTCAGCCGTTTCTGAAATACAGACACTCCTGGCTGGTGAGCCATGTCTCACAGAGACCCTTGGGCTAGTCACCTTCTGTCACTGCAGGAGCCCTGGCCCCACTCCTCCTCCCACTTCCTTCTCCCGTTGGTCCCTAGACTCCTAGAAGGACTGAGCGCATCTCTTTAAGGACATTGACCCATTGAGAGCCCAGGAGCGGCCTGGAAGTGTCTTGCCTGTCCCTGCTGCACCCTGAGCTCCAGGCAGGGGCATCTGGGGAAGGGGTGGGGGAGGAGGCTGGAAAAGAGGATTCACAAAAGAAGAAACGGTGAGCAAAGCAAACGGTTTCACTGACTTCATCATTTTTGTGTAGGAAGAGTTTCTAAAATGGCTTACTCTTAAAAAGCTAAACAGATCTCAAAGCCTCTGCTTTTTATAGAACATCAGTCCCTGGTTCCAAATTAGCAACCCTTAATCTCACGCTGGTCTGGTTCTGAAGTGACTGCTAAGCTGCTGGGCTAGGACTCACGTCAGGGCCCGATCATCCCTGACTAGCTGGGGGAAGGAGGGGGAGA